TGTCCCCTAGGCATAAATCAGTACCTAACCCTTGCAGTGCAGGAGTAGCCCCACTGCAAGGGTAGTCTTTTGGTTTGCCCAAAGAAGGGGCTTTCAATATTGTTTGGTAACTTTCTTTTTTTTTTCAAATTATTTATTTTTAAAGGCAAGCAAGGCACACACCACAGATACAGCCAAGTACAGGATAGGCGGAGTCCTCCGCAGTTACATTCACAGAAAGTACACATCATTGGCAATCAAGTAGATATAGTGCAACAATAATCTCAAACATATATTGTGGGGCCCCAGCAATACCTTGTGAGTTTTTCATATTTTTAACAGACACAGCCGCGTAGCAGCCGGTGAGAACATCTTAGCCACCTTGTCCCAGAATGGTTGGATCAGGGGGCAGTCCCAGAAAATATGTTTAAGGGTTCCCTCAGTATCATCGCATCTCCAACACATTGGTGAAGATGCCGGGTACATGCGGTGGAGGACTGTTGGGACCCTGTACCACCTAGTCAGCAGCTTGTAACCCGCTTCTTGATACCTGTTGGCTATAGAAGACTTATTGGCAAAGTAGTACATTCGCTCGATCTGTGGAGGGGTAAGCTCCATGTCCAGATCCGTTGCCCATTGTCTGATAAAGTATGGCGGTTGGTCAGTCGGCTGAGCTCGCAGACAGCCAACCAGTACGGACAGGGTATGTCTGGTCGGGTCGGGTCGGCTTTCAGGCATAAATTTTCAAATTCTGTCAGTGGTCTGAGCATCGGGCTCTGGTCCCCAACCGAGCGCAGGCAGTGGCCTATCTGTAGGGCATGCCAAGGACTGAGGACGGGCTCTATCCTACTCTGGATCTGCAAAGCCGACATCCAGCCCGCCGCTGCTCTGAAGTGATAGGCTCTGGTGCAGTTCCCTGCCGTCAGAACACCACGCAACGGACCCAGTAGGCCTGGTATGAAATGGGGATTACCCACTATCGGTAGCATGGGCGAGGGTGTCGGGGAGAGGGCAGAAGCGGCAAATATGCCACTGGCTGCCCTTATCGTAGCTCCCACCAGCGGGTTCGTCCACTGCGACATTGGCAGAGCAGGGCGAATCCACGGTATGCCCCACAATGGAAAGGGGCAGGTCTCCTGTTCCAATGCCACCCACAACTTGTGATGTGCATTACAGCACCAATCCACCACTACAGCCAGCATGGCCGCTTTGTAGTAAATGCATGGATCTGGAAAGTGTATGCCACCCTCCGCTCCGGACCTGGACAGTATCTGGTGTCGAATCCGAGCCCGTTTGTTAGCCCACACGAAAGCTAAAAAGGTCGATCTCAGCTGCTTAAGGTAGGTTGCATGGAGCGAAATCGGGAGAGTCTGGAGTAAGTACAGTAACCGAGGTAGGACCGTCATCTTTAAGATATTATTGCGTCCAAACCACGTGAATGCGGGACGCTCCCAGGAGCGTAAATCCGTGACGATGCGACGTTGGAGTGTGATAAAGTTAAGAGAGAAAACTCTCTGGAGATCAGATGGCAGTGACACTCCCAGATATGTAATATGAGAGTCTGCCCATTTAAAAGGAAAGGACGACTTAAGACGGCAGAGGCGCGGGTCAGGTATGGACACACTCAGGGCCTCCGATTTGGAGAAATTGATTTTAAAATCTGACAACTTCCCGTACACTGTCAAGGCCGACATGAGGTTGGGGAGCGACACCTCCGGGTGAGTAACATAGAAAAGAAGGTCGTCTGCGTACGCTGCGGTCTTGTGAGTTCCGGAGCCCGCCTCCAATCCCGTAATATCAGGGGATGCTTGTATCGTTCGTATGAGTTCAAGAGTGAGCAAGAAGATAAGGGGAGAGAGGGGGCATCCCTGTCGCGTCCCGTTGGACAAGGGGCAGAAAGAGCCTCATTAACCTGATCACTGCCGATGGGTTTGAATAGAGTGCCCCTATCCATGAACGCATATGGGTTCCCAAACCCACGTAGGAAAGGGTTTCTCGTAAGAAGGCCCAATTCACCCGGTCAAAGGCCTTCTCCGCGTCTATGGACAGCAAGAGAAGGGGTTTTGAGCGGGCTTGTGCCAGGTGAATGACATTCAAAGTGTGGATGGTGTTGTCCCTAGCTTCATGGCCCGGGACAAAACCCACCTGATCAGGGCCAATGAGTGTGCTCATGAACGGAAGGATTCTAGAAGCCAAAATTCTAGTGAAGATTTTGAGATCTACATTAAGGAGTGAGATAGGGCGATAACTTGCACAGCTAGTAGGATCTTTGCCCTCCTTGGGGATTACTGTAATTTGGGCCCTTAGAGTGTCTCTAGGGAGGGTAGGATATTCCAGGATCGAGTTAAAGGCGTGAAGGAAGTGTGGCCCCAGCACACCACAGAAGCACTTAAAATAGTTTAGCGTGAATCCATCTGTGCCAGGAGCCTTACCTGGTTTCATGGATTTGAGTGCTGCTTCAATCTCCTCATGGGCATTTCCAGTAGGGAACTTTTGGATTCCGACAAGCGTTTCATACCGGAATCCTGCAAATATTCCCGGATCTTCCGTGTCCGGGATTCAGGATGCCCTCCACTCCCTTCCGAGTGCAAGTTGTACAATTTCGTATAGAAGGATTGGAACCGGGCAGCCATAGCGGCCGATTCCGAGATGAGTACCCCTGTTTCTGTACAGATAGAGGGTATATACGTGCGAGCCCGAACATCCCGCACGGCATTAGCTAGCATTCTGCCCGGTTTATTACTGAATTCATAGAATGACCTGCGCGACCTCGCCATTTGGGCCTTCACCCTATCCATTAGGAGAGCACTGTGCTCGGCTCTAGTTTTAGTTAATTCCAACTCAGTCCCCTCATTTGGAGACAATTTGTGGCGTAATTCTACATCCCTGAGCCGGGCATACAACTCCTCTACTAGCTTAGCATGCTGGCGTTTGCGGTGGGAGCCCATTCGGATGAGAACCCCCGGATAACACACTTATGTGCCTCCCATAGAGAGAGGGGATTTTGCGTGGGGGACGCATTCTCAGAAAAGAAGCATTGAAGTGCCGCGCGCAACTCTGCCTCCAGGCCCGGATCCTGAATGATGGATTCATTGAGTCTCCAAGTAACCGGAGGTCTGGAGTCAGGTCCCACCTTCAGGTCTATGTGTATGGGCGAGTGATCCGAGTGCATCGTAGTGCCAATCGAGACGTCTTTGATATACAAGCGCTTTGGATTACAAGCATGCTGCCGGAACGAATTATGCTCGTAAACCAAGGTATTACTGTAGTTGATCCGTGAGTAAGATTCATGGGGGGTCGAATAGTATGCATAGTCCCTCTCCACTGGGTGGCGATTGCGCCAAGGATCTACTAGTTGTAGGTCGAACATCGACTTTTTGATACGCTTGCGCTGCGATTGTAACTTTCTATCTTGATCATACAATACAGGACACAGGGCGTGTAGTCTTAACAATGGGATATATGCAGCTACCTTCAGGTGATTGACTGGCAAACAGAGATGATAGGACAGCCCATATAATGCTTCCCACTCCCAGCAAGCCTCAGTATTTTGCAAGTGTCCTTAAGTGATGGAGTTCTGGTTTATAGTCAAGTACAGTTAGGAAACAAGAAAAGGTATAAGTAATAGCTTGAGAATTACAATATATGAAAGGGTTGTGTTTTAGTGTCAAATGCTGTACAGTAAATTTGAAGTATATTGTATTATTTATTATGGGTATTTATATAGGGCCAACAATTTATGTAGCTCTTTACACAGGAGCCAATTAACCTTCCAGCATGTATTTAGAGTGAGGGAGGAAACCAGAGTACCTGGAGGAAACCCACACAAGTACGGGGAGAACATGCAAACTCTTTGCAGATAGTGACCTGACTGGGATTCGAGTTTACAAGGCAGAAGTGCTAACCACCTCACTGCTGTGCTGCCCTATATAAGATTTGTTGACTTTCTCTCAGGGGAAAAAGAAAGTTAAGTGATTTCGTTTTCTAGATACTTTATTGGCACTTAAACCACATTAGACATTAGAAAAGGAGTCTTCAGTATTTTTGCTAGTCACAGATTCTCTTGCTTTTGTTTAGCTGCAGTAAAGACTCTTGGGTCTCTTAGCGGCACAGCCGAGTCCCCTCCACTGCTTGTAAATGTACTGCCTTCAGAGCTTCTGCCTCAGGTATGCCTAGTTCAGAACTCAGGCATTCAGTGATAATTTCAAACACAGTACAGGATGGAAAAAAATCCCAGTGTGTCACCAAGTTGAAAAGATGGCTGAGCTTTGTGGTCCTCTTCCCTGGCAACCTTTATCCACAGCCCTGAGTATAAAGATTATATTCATTTTTAAATAAAGGGTTATTAGCCCTTTGCCTCTTGGAGCATTTTTGCAAAATGTTTGAAGAGAGTTTTAGGAAATTCTTGATGGCTGTGGTAATTCACCAGGAAAAGGTATTCAATTTCTGCTTGAGGAAATTGCATTGCTGATGAAGATTTGCATGAAGGACTTCCAAAGTAAATGTATATTTATACAAAAGGGAAGATGCATAGTATAATTTTTTCCCTTTTGTCTTTTTACAGAAGTCCAACCAAAAGTTGTAGGGAGATTTCAAGTCACAACTGCAAAGGACTCCACAAACAGCAGCCTTGATGTATTTCAAAGATCAGACACTACCTCTGGGCTGTACGAGACTTCTTCATCAGACACAGATATTAGCACTGATGCGGACACTGAAGGAAATTTATCAGACTCTGAAAGACTCACTCCCAGTGCCAACGTAGACACACTTATGTGGGACCATGATAGGCATATCAGCTGCTCAGACTCTGAGGTTTGTGTCCAAGGATCGAAGGATGAATATTCTGGTGACATAAAAAGTTTAACTCCTGTAGGTAACATTGTAGATGTATTAGACAGTTGTATTTGTGTTCTCAATAACAACAACCCTAGATCAGAAGATGGCTGCAAGAATATTACCAGCAATGAACAATGCATTCACAGTGACCATGTTATAAAGGAGGAAAATAATGGGGACAGTATCTTAGCGTCGGCAGATGGGAAAGGTGTAGATCCCATGTCTTCTAGCGAAGAGGAGAACCAGGAAAAGACACCCCAGCAGATCTCCACAGTTCAGGTCTGGCTACATTACACCAGAGGTATTGCTTATCTCAGCAGTGATGATACTGAGAGTGAAGATGAGGAGATATTCGAGGAGCTTCAGCAGCTAAGACAGAAGTAAGTTGACATATTTTACTGTGGGGGAAAATTAAAAAGTGCTTTAAATGTTACATACTGCATCCAAACATTTTGGAAAAAAATGACTAACTTAAATAATTATTCATAATTAACAACTGTGTTGGCGCTGTTGGCACCCTTTAAAATACAATTACAGTTTCAGAATAAACATGTTATCTGATCCCTCTTTCTCCTCAGTTACGTGATATATATAAAGGCAGAGTTGAGATACGGATTCTTCCATTCTTAACTGCCCTAATCTGTCCTGGGCTAGGAAGTGTTTATATTTTGGAAAGACCTGGGACATGTTCCTGCCCTTGTAAATATTTCCTGTTTCTGCTAGTAGGAGTCTTGGGCTATTGACCCGTTTTATTTCAAAATTGAAATTACCTTTAGACAGCAGCTTCATATGCTAATGGTTTAAAGAGAACTAATAGTCTTATTTTTCACTTTTGCAAAGCAAGTAATATCATATATAAAAGCATATACTATATACTACACATTAACCTCATTTGTGTTTTTACACTTAGATACAATCATTTGCATAGAGGTCATGTCCTCACTGGTGCCTTTATTTTTTTGTGAATAGACATATGTCTGAAGTTCAGGTGTTACAAGCACTGCAGAAGAAAGAGATTGAAGAGCTGTATTGTAGGATGGGAAAAGTGCCTCCCCCAGGTATTGTGTCTCCAGCAGCCATGCTGTCCAGTCGACAGAGGCGTCTATCAAAGGGAAGCTTCAACCCATCGAGGAGGAACAGCCTACAGAGATTAGAGCTTCTACCAGCTGCTGGTATGAATCCTGAGAGCATGCTCTCAATTTATGCTTTGTCAATTTAAAACTTAAAGTTGTTCTGCAGCTTTAGGAAGGGTATTCTAGGAGACCTACCTGGATTATTATTAAGAACTAACAGTTTTTATTAACAGACTGTGGTAGACCATTGCTTTAAACAGATGTATTTACTGTGCAGTCTGTATTGTTACAAAGAGGTGTTAATGGCCCACCAGGGAATGAGCCTTCGTGACAGCCCATTCTTTCCACAGGTAGCTGAACCAAGACAACTAGCTCACTGCACTCACTCCAGACAGAAAGGATCGCTGTCCCTCAGAATGGACAGTCTGCCCTGTGAAGGAGCGTCCATACTGGGGGACAACAATCTGAGGGACAGCAATCTTTTCTGTCTGGGGAAAGTGTGGCGAGCTGGTTGTCTACTTTCATCTACTTGCAGTTGGGATTCAGCCCACAACTGGGACAGGACTGTGTCAGCGTGTACCGATGCACTGCCCCTTTCACATGGTTGGATGTTGTGCTTTTTGCTTCTTCCCTCCCATGGTCACCTTTTAAAAAAATAAGTGGATCTTAAACATACTACACCATATGGGTTCTTTGCGCTGTGCTCCTTGTTTGTCTTTCGATAGAGGGCAAGTGCCTGCCTTCTTCACTGCTGATCACCAAGATGCTTGTTAAGTGTCCAATTTGTGGAAAGAGCACTCTTAAGTGTCCTTCTGTGCTGGTAATATCACACAAAATAGCGCGACTGATGTTAGTGATAACGGTAAGCTCACAGATGTGTATTAGGATATGACAAAGACTAAGACCACAGTCAGGAACTGCAACTTGCAAAAAGTGCAAAAACAGGCTCTTAAAGAGGAACTCCAGGAATCTACTGGGTAGCCCCACTACAACGAATAACTTCTAGTTTTGGTTTAGGGGCTCAGGATCCCTGCTCTCGCCGGCTTCCTCTGGGATCCCTATGATTTATGTGAATCTGGCAGACATTATAAACTTGCATGTCCTTCCTAATAGCAGATACCCTAAGATCTACAGTATATCTTAGGGCAGGGGTGCCCATTAGGTAGATCGTGATCTACCAGTAGCTCTCAAAGCTGATGCTGGTAGATCACAAAGGGTGTGAATGGCGGCCCCTTTATTCCATTTTGGTATATTTATTTAGCTGTGCACACATGATTACCTATTAGCCTGAGTCTGCTGAGCCAAGCTCCCTGACACCGTTCTGGTGGATACTGGTGTTTGAAGTGCTATGAATTACATCAAAGAATATTAGTTTACACAGCCTGTTGCACTGCACTGTTTGCAAAATACAGCAAGGTGGGCCAGGAGAGAGAGCGGGGAGAGACAGCCAGGAGAGAGAGTGAGGAGAGACAGCCAGGAGAGAGAGTGAGGAGAGACAGCCAGTAGAGAGAGTGAGGAGAGACAGCCAGGGGAGAGAGCAGGGAGAGAGTGCGAGGAGAGACAGCCAGGGGAGAGAGCAAGGAGAGACAGCCAGGAGAGAAAACGAGGAATGACAGCCAGGAGAGAGAGGAGAGACAGCCAGGAGGATAAGCAAGGGGAGACAGCCAAGAGAGAGAGCAAGGCGAGTCAGCCAGGAGAGAGAGCAAGGGGAGACAGTCAGGAGAGAGAGCAAGGGGAGACAGCCAGGAGAGCTAGGAGAGACAGCCAGGAGAGAGAGAGCGAGGGAGGTTTTTTTACGTTGGTAGATCTAATGTAGCTCGTCATTTGAAAAGTAGATCTTAACACAAAAATTGTGGGCACCCATGTCTTAGGGTATCTGCTTTTAGGAAGGATTTACAAGTTTACCTTTTTTTAATCTACCTTTAGAAGTCTACCTTTATTAGCCACCTACTCTCAGAAAAGTCCTAGTATAGCTAGCCTAAACTGAGTCATCAATCACCCTAAGAATGCATATAGTAAGACAGCAAATATTTTGCAAGGCAGAAAAGTTATATATGAAAAAAATCCGCGCTAATTGAGAAAAATGTATATAAAATACGAAAGTAACCTGGATCTAGGGTTAAAAGCTGCCAGACAGAGGTTACAGTTGGGACCTCATAGGAAGTAGGGTAAGTGTACAGCGCTATCTAACCTCCCCAGTGTAAACTATAAATTGTGAAAATATTCCAACATGTGACAGACTAAAGTGGTCAGTGTGTTTATGACATCAATATTGTGTCACAAAAACAATAATGTGAAAAGGTACAATTGAGTGAGCCAATTTATTAAAAAAACAAAGTGAATCAATCACAATAAAATGAATGAATGAACGTGACAATTGCTACAAGGTGTATTTAAATACACCAATTAAGAAGCAACAAAGTTAATAAATCACATCTATACGTGACTACTGAAAAATTACTGAATAAATGCTATAAAAGCAGTGATATGCAATTATTGTAAAGTGCATCTCTTTTGAGTGAAAACAAAGAACCAAATCCATCACAACCGTGACATAATGAAAGGGGAAAAAGATTTCCCGTGAGATTGCACTCCACCTGTTTGGGGCTGTGCACTCCCCAAATGTCCTGCTAATGATGAATAGCTATCCCGATGGTCTGGATCAGATTCCAAAAATAAACCTCCCGAGTGTTTCAGAAGCAAAGACAATCAGTTCAAATGTTAAAATCCTCAAAGCTTCGGCACTAGACACCCTTTTCGTCCTTCAGCCGCTTAGTGTCCAGACCGGACCAAAGTTCCGTTTACATGTAAGACACAAAGATCTCCATGAGGTAGTAAAAAGGTTTATTAAATAAAAACAATAAGTAGAAACTCACATATAAAGATTGAGGCGGCCAGCCCACAAAAGATAGAAAACAGCTCCCGTCTCCTCAAGAGGTAAAACCCGGTCTCATCTAGCCCCGCCCTGACGCGTTTCATCATATGACGTCCTCAGAGGGTAGCAGGTAGCATATCATACCTGCTACCCTCGGAGGACGTTGTATGACGAAACGCACGGAGCACTTTAGTCTATGTCACATGTTGGAATATTTTCACAATTTATAGTTTACACTGGGGAGGTTAGATAGCGCTGTACACTTACCCTAAAAGGCAGAAAAGTTGCCAATAATTTACATGATTTTGTGCCAGAATTAGCTCAGTAATAAAATGTGTCTCTTACATTTAACATTTAATGCTATATTGTCCTAAGGCTCTATAAAAAAGTATGTTAAGAAAATGAGTCTGTATAAGTGAAACAATTACGATACTACAATGCCAAGAAATGAGCAGATAACCAGATCCCAATCATCTGACAGAGAGAAGATGCCCTCCCCATTTTTACCTTAGTCTATTAATGGGGGAAGTTTCATACTTAACAGTAGCGAGTATAGAGGAAATACATTTACAAGTCTCTTTAGGTATCCCCTCTTCTATAATAGTAATACTGTATTACCGCAGCATGAAAAAAACATACATAAGCAAAGTACACAATGGGCAGGGTTCTGTTGCTGGTGTAGAACAGAATCAAAGTTGCTACTACTGCAAAGAATCAAAATGAGTATCAAAACATATGAGATTATTTGGGGATTTGTAGGTCCAACCGTAGAAAATGCTTAGAGGCATGCCTAAACATTTATAGGGCTGTTAAATTTACAGAATGTATGAGCATGTGTGACTAGATTAGCTAACATCTACCTTTAGATTCTAGAGCTGTGCAATCATTATCTGTTAGCAGATAGAGCCACCAGTTGATTCATACCAGTTGTAAGGCTTGGTAACTACCCTGTATTGTAGTATCACATCAGAATGTCATAGCATCCAGGATGGATGAAGAAAGTCTTCGGGTGTTTGTATTCCATAACAAAGAAACCACCACTGAGTTAAATTTATAAAGACTCTCATAGTAATCTAACAAGGTGAACTAGCTACAACACAAATTGAATTGTACCCACCAGGATAACAGCAGTTGAAGCCAGTGCAATGCTTTAAATTCTAACAGCAAGGTATTTTTAAAAATGAATTACTTTTAAAAAGGATTTTCCTGACATCAGCATAATCTCCCACCCTAAACTCTTCTATGTAAGGTGAGATATGAACAAACGAGTTTAATGGCAACCACAAATTGAAGTAGACAGAAAGCAGTCTTGTCTGGTCATATTTCGAAAGTGCATTCAAGTTACCAGGAATGATGACATGCCCCTGAGCAATCTCATATGATATTCTGAAGCTACTGAATACCTTCTTTATTTCAAATACAATAAGGCACATTGGGATATTAGTGATTTTGGAGGGGCTAAATAATATGCACTTCTTAGGATGTGTATTGTTATGTCTATTAAATCCCAGTTGTTCTGGGCATTTAATAACGCCAAAATAATTGTTGAGTCTGTAAAATAATATGGTGGCCAAGATATTTTTAACACAAATTATTTCACAATGCCTTTTCAGGAATTAGGAAGAACTCACTTGGGGGAAGCAGTACAGGCTCACAGGAACAATATTCTAATAAAGCAGTCACATTCACAGGAGATGTCACAAGAATGGTGAGTTTTAGACATGTAAACCGGCAAACAATTTGGTAAGGTTTGGTGCGTTTTGAATTTTTCATTGTTTCGGGGTTTGGGATTCAGGTCAGAAAGTCAATTAATTTCAGGATTTTCAATAATTTCGGGTGCATTGGATAATTACGAACAAATTTTTGCTGCAGCCAAGTGACATTAGAAAAAAAAGGTGACATTTTTCTTTTTAACTTTTGACAGTCCACAGAAAGAAAACAAAAACAAGGTGACCCCTCTTAATTCATACCAGGCCAGATAGGTCTGGTAGGAATTTTAGGGGGACCCCAAAAAGAAAACAAAAAAAGCTTGAGGTCCCCCCTGAACTCCTATACCAGACCCTTGATCTGAGCAGGAAGGGGGGCGGGGGGGGTGAGCATGCGCCCCTCCTCCTGCATCATACCAGGCCACATGCCCTCAACATGGGGAGGGTGCTTTGCCAGAGGGAACCCCCTGGAAAAGCACCTTGTCCCCGTGTCGATAAGGACAAGTGCCTCTTCCCCACAACCTGGCCCAGTGGCAGTGGGGGTCTGTGGGTAAGGGCGCTTATCTGAATCTGAGTGCCCTCTTACATAAAGGGGGCACCCAGATGCCACCCCCACCCCCCTCGTGAATGTGTAAGGGGTAGTTGTTACCTACCTACTCATTCACCAAATAAAAAAAGTCAAATTGCAAATAAACACACCACACTGTAAACAAAAGTCCTTGATTTGAAAAAAAAACACTTCAAAAGGTTTTTGACAAGTATTTTATTTAAAAAAAAAAAAAGTGTCCATCAATGTAATCCAAAGGTCAATCAGGTTGTGTATATTCTCGTCAATCATGATGAACAATGGCTGCTTACTCGCAGAAAGAAAAAAACCCGATGCCTGCCGACCCCAACTGAGCCCGATGGAAACTTCTGCGAAATGACAGCTCTGACAAGAAGGGGGCAGAGCGAATTGTGACGTCACGGGACTTGTTCCGCCCATTAGTTGACATTCAGTAGCAGAGTCAAGTCAAGGATGCATTGTACAAAACATGCTTAGAGAGGTGTGTTCTAAGTGCCTAGGAGATATAAGATGGGGGTGAGATGGGATTGGGGCTGGCAGATAGAATTTTGTACTATTGTTATAGTGTTCCGTGCTGGACGACGAGACGAGGCTAAATAATGGATATGCAAACTATTAATCAGAATGGTTCCTGTTCTAGATAACCACTGGAGGATATTACAGTGACACATGTGATCAGGATGATAATGGAAAAGTAAAAGGTAATTACACTAAAACCCCCAAGCTTTATGAACAAGTTAGTATGCCAAACCCAAATGAATATTCTACATAAAAGAAGAAAAATTTAATCAGAGCAGTTGAAGAAGCATCTAAAATATTTAATAATGACAAAACAAGGAGTAGAAAACATTGAAAGCATCATTCTCAGTGGTTAAAAACATTACTGGAACTACCACAACCATCTACCTACCTGCTAAATACCTACTACTACATCCTCATCATCATGCTGGCATTGTTGTTATAATTTTAATTTTCTTTATGCAGGACAACTATCTTCTCTGACAGATGTGTGTTACCAACAAGGAATCATCAATCTAGTTACATAATAAAACCTAAGAATTACAAAACACATATTATAAAGAATGTTGATGTGTGAAGCAAGTATAAAACTGGTCATACATTTAAAATTTTTGTTGCTTGCTATCAAAAAATTCCGACATTAAAGCGAACCTGTGGCTAGGTAATGTGCTTTCAAGTATTTACATTACATTAGTTAAGCAGAAAACAAGCAATTGTTATTATTATTATTATTATTATTATTATACAGGATTGATATAGCTCCAACAGTTTGCAAAGCACTTTACAAAATAAACAGTATTGTTACAATACAATTCCATACAACTGCATTAGGGGGGTTCTGTTTGTTAGAGCTTATAATCTAAAATGAGGGGCAATTGATACAAATGTAATAACTTTGAGGCAAAAGCTGATGGAAGGAGAAGTCGTTTTTAGGAGGAGATTTGAGTTTTTATGGATTGCCTAAAGGCAACCGTATAGATTGGGCTTGGGATCCCAGAGGATGTGGGAGGCTCTGGAGAAATCTTGGAAGCGAGCATAGGAGGAAGTGACAGAGTGCTAAAGAGCTTGAGTTCTTGTGAAGTGAATGCTTTGTGTGATATTGTGAGATGAGTTTAGTAATGTAGCCAGGGGTGGAGTTGTGGATGGCTTTGTACGTTGATGGTATTTTACATTTTATACATTGGGCTATTGAAAGACAGTGTAGGGATTGGTAGAGAGGAGCATGGCCACTACACAGTTGGTAAGGTGGATGAGTCTAGCAGCATCATTCATTGTAGACTGAAGGAGGGATTATCACATTGTTACCGTCACGGTAATGAGGTCTGGGCAGTCAAGTAATATTTTGAAAAAGCTTTGTCCCCTTGATGGCAATAGGCCAATTATTGATATTATTAAATAAAATACAGACCAGACATCTGTACATAGGGGTCAAAGCAATCCAATTAGAATTATTTACATTATACAGCTAATGGACTTTATTGCACCCCTCGTAAAAACATTCATTACCAGAGTTGATATCCTGGCATAACCGACCTGTTTATGGCAGACTTATCTTAACCCACTGATTCCAGATCACCAATTAATTGACACTTGACAGGTCTAGTTAAACACAAAATGGCCTGGCACTGATAAGAACACAACTGAACTCCAGTTCAACTTGAGCAATAGACCTACAGCTACAATCTAACCCAATAATCATAATTATGAACCAGGAGGTGCTATATTAACAATATAGCCCTTCCGTGTATTCCTGAGTCCAAACATACTAGATTTGAAGGATCTAGGAGGCCTAGAAGACTAGAAACACATCTTATCCCTTCTCTTCCTTCTGACAGGAATATGACAGGTTTTACGAGGGAGTGAATTAGAAGGTTTGTGGTTTCGTTTGTTAAATGGGGCGTATTTTGGAAATGTTACGGAGGTTGAGTCGACAAGATTTGGATAGTGATTGGATGTGGGGCTGAAAGGAGAGCACGAGTACCCAGGCTTGATGGGAGGGGTTGATCGTAGTGTGTTTGATTGTGATGGGGAAGTTGGCTGAGGGAACAAGGAGAGAAGGAAAAATTCTTAGCTCAGTTTTTGTCAGATTGAGTTTGAGGTAGTGGTGCGACATCAATGCTGATATGTCACTGAGTAGAATTGAGATACGTGAAGAGACAGAGGGGGTGAGTTGAGGAATGGAGAGATAGATTTGGGTGTCATCAGCATAAATATGGTGTAGGAAGCCATGGGAATGCCTCTAAGTGATCATTTTGTATGTTCAGCACACACCTACTGGACACTAATAACTTAGATTAGATGCATTAGAATAAGATATGTTGTAGTCAGCAACTGCAGCAGATCTTCTTTCAAACTCTTTCATTTAAGGAGGCTCATGAAGCTCCATGCATGACAATCTAAAAGACATGTTTTAGGCTAAATGAAAACCTGATCCCCTACTCAGTGCAAAACAGATGTAGAAAGTGTCACACTGCTGATTATCAGAGGATTAGAAGAGCAGGCCTACTATGTTACTATAAGAATTGGTCCCCAAAAGGGGACTAACTTCAATTCAGACTGAAAAACACTATTACTTAGACTGATTTAATGAAGCTTCTTTATTACATCATGGTTTTGTTGACATTATTCAGTGTGAAAATACAAATGTTTTAATTACAATTGATATCAATTTGTTTTCTTTTTGTAGTAATGCCATCTATAAGAAACTCTTGAATATAAATATTGGGCTACCTCAGCGGTTGTTGTTCTACCAAGTAACGTCTTCTATGGTTCAGACTTGTTGAACAAGATATATATTGACGGATATGGGAGAATCAGCTGAAAGCCAGTGCATTCATCCTGCAGAAGAAAGATTAGTCTTCTAGCTTGGTGGATCCTATATTCAAAATAAATAATTGAAACCATGTCTGTCATAGTAATGGCTAGTTTCAACTTTCTACCAGCTACTTGTGCCCCTGTCAACTAGATTGCATGGCCCCGATGGTAACAACTTGAGATACATAAGTGATATCCTGTATTGGAATAAGCATTGCATTATCTAATGTTTAGTAGAAACATGTTGTTAAAGTTAGTTGAATCTTCTTGGTTATCAGACTGTGAGTTAAACAACCATTCACTTTGGACTTGGAAAAAAGAAAGGAGAAAGCCGCCTGCCAACACTTTTAACATTTGGCTTTTTCACTTGAAACCCTACAAACAATGGAAAAGCATCATCCTATAAAGCTATAGCAATAAAAGAACTGAACATGAGAGATTTAAATGAGAGCAATGCTGACTGTCTACCTTGCAAAGCACATAAATGATGTTGGATATTGTTTCTCACATCAAACAGAATTTAATGAACACCATTTAAAATGCAGCTTGCATTTACCCTGATTGTCCAGGATATTAATTATAAACCAGCAACGATTTAAAGGACCAATTGACCTTAAACACAGGTTGGAATGTATAAAAGATGATTGTGTGCAATAACATGTATATGTATTTTAGTTTTAGGACTTTATCAGATCTAAAGATATTTAAGCTAAAGCAGTGATTTTCATAATTGATAATGCCCTACTTACTAATGTCTTCCTATCTAGTCAGGCTATTGAAACAATTGCAGTCAGCCTCTCTTCAGCCAGAAATTGATAACACTTAAATTCTAATTTGCGTTCAGCAATGCAAAATATCTCACTTTAATGTAAGTAATCACATAAGTCCTAATTCTCTTGCTTTAAATTCATGAAAAATTTGAATGATCTACCAAGGACAAGGAAAATTAGCCATTTGAGTTGGTGATAAAATAATGATGAGAATTGTTAATTAGAATGCCAAGGGACTGGGACTTTTCGGGTTCCAAAAAGATTTAGATGTTTTGTAGAATAAATAAATATATAGTTTTTATAGGGGGGAAAAAACTCCTAAACCATAAACCTTTATTTTACAAATAAAGATCACATTACAACATATAGACATTCATAACTCCACCATACAGTTATATATAGAGCTATCATCAGCGTCAATAATTTGTGCTGGTGAGGTTGAGGCTTACTCTACGCAAGATCACTGGAATCTGCTTCATCAGAGTTGTGGCAAGCTTATTACGATTCTATATAATGAATATATGTGGTTAGTGATGGGAAGTCACAGCCACAAACTAAACCTGCAGGGAAAGAGAGGAGGCCAATAAAATAAAGGATATGGGAATCCATAGTTGCCAAGAACAGCCTGTATCAAGGGAAAATCTGAAAAAAACAGGAAATGTATATATGTAAAAAATATACCAGCATTTAGGGACATACATTTTCTGGCTTCTTAGGTCTGGCTGCCCACTTTTATATCATTAAGAGCTGGTATAGTTATGGAATCAAGAACTGGACAGCCAGACCTTCAAGGGATATGCACTTCCATTAAAAGAGGTCCATATGCCAGGGTGTTACTGTATCAGTTATTCACAGGTCAACTGGGATATATTTTTTAGTGGTATGTAGGGATAAATAGTAGTATTTCCACAAATGGATGAAATAGAAAAAAATCTTCACTGAATGTTCAGGCTTCACACTGGTTCACAGGTAACACAGGCTGTCCCTACCCAAAATGCAGGATTATCACCCAAATACAAAAGAGGAGAGAATTCACCCCAAAAACTATCAGTCGACAATTGAAAATTCTTCTCAGTTTTTTGGGGATGTGTCTCTAGTGCCGGTCCACAGTGTTTTACTAATAAACTAAGGATAGTAGTATTAGTAAATTCTGATTTATGAGAAATAGAAGCATTGAAGATATAAATGTTTTGCAAAATGTATTTTTGGGAATCTGAAATTCTGATTATCAGGAGAAATAACAAACAAAAGTAATATGACTCTTGCAGTTTGCAAATTAATGCTATATTCTTTTATGATATGAGAATGTATACACTGATAATGACAAATTGTATTTAAACATTGTTGTGTAAAGCAATTTATGTTTCAGGTTTAGTGGCCCTTTGCCTTAAAGTGAAGTGTTCCTCCCCAGCAGTACACAGTCACCTTTGCTGTTCCCACCCGTCAATTAATTCGGCCACTAGGACAAAGTGAAATACCCATCTGGGTGTAAGTGAGCTGACTCCCCTCCTCTCATTTCTCTCGTGTGAAATTACACATTTTCCCCGTAGGTTACATTTTGCTGGAAATCCTCAATTTTGCTTAAAATAAAAAAAAGTATTTTTTTTTTCTAACGGTGTGGCTTTTGGGTGCATTTAGGGTAGTTTAGTCTATTTCATTTAGTATACTTTGTTTTTTTTACTTTTTTGTGTATTTGTTACATGTGCACTATGGTGAACTTCTGCTTTTTTCCCTTTTGTGTTAAATGTAAAGTAATTAGACTAGTTGGGGGCACAAGAACGCGTCTTAAGGGCTTGTGTTAACCTCAGGAGCCTTTTAAAGCCCATTGCACAGACATTGAAATCTCCTTATTTTTGCTGGAATTATGTTGAAATTAATACTCAGTTTCAGTAATCCCTGTTCATGGTTGGTCCGCTGCTATCACATACGGCAAGGGAAGTCCATAGTCCTTTCTATGTTTTGACAAGTCAGTTTGGAGTTAACATTAGGGGCTTTCTTTCCCGAATCAGTATTGCGGGGTGCAAGGAAAGGTGAGTACAAGCTGCTGGGAGGATGGGAGTTAAGTGAATCTTTTACTTCACTTTAACTGTATTTCTGTTGCTGTAAAACTCAACGCTTACCAAATATTGGAGGAGTTTCTGAACGTATGCTGCTTGCTTATTTGTAAGAGATTAACACTGTGTAATGTAATATGAACTTGTTCATACAAAAAAATATACATTTTATATCGCCTAATATAATGAATATAAATTATTTTCATATATTGTATTGTATACACAATATAAAAAGTAAAAGATATGTGTGGGTATGTATGTGTGTGTGTCTACCCTTTAATGGAAATGATCCATGCCAATGAAGCTGTACAATACAACCTTAAAATATCAATAAAAGAACCATAAAAACACTGCCAAACAGAACTTCTTTTAATGTGTTTTTCAATATTATACCATAACATACTGTATGGATGATTAAAGGAGGACAAGTAAAGCAGAAAGTGGAAAAAGGGGGTAAGGATGAAAATGAGAACTGTGGGGGGAAAAAAAACAGGTGTCTATGGCTGAATCTGGGTTTCTTCATTACAAACAAAAGTGCATTAATACAATTGTATGACATTGTAAATATGTGCAACTATATTACAGCAACATTTATGTACCTCCTAAACTTTGCCTGATCTCTCAAACCTACTGTGAGCTCCTCTGACAAACTTAAAAAACAGAAAAATTAGGTATCAGCATATGAGTGATGGCTGTTCTCTGGAAAGATGAAACAAGGGCGTTATGAAGTTTCTGGCAACCCCGTATCCTTTATCTGTATGTGAGAAGATATAAACAGAGATAAACAGAAAAAAAACACCCAGAAAATCTGTGTAACTGGTAATTTAACATGTTGAGGGTATTAAAAACTAGTAAACTGGTAGAAAGTGGGCCTACGGACTAGGTATTGGTTCATTAAGTGCAGAGAAGAAGCAGAAGCGAGTAGTAAAAATAAGGTATTCCCTTCCACCGGCAGTGGTATCCGCTGATAGCGTAGATAAGTTTAAGAAACTTGTATATTTAGTGACTGAAGGAACTCATCTAGAAGGATATAGAAAGTGTTAAATACATAGAGATAGAGGTGTGTGTGTGTGTGCGCATGTGTGCATACGAACGCGCATACACACACACACACACACGTTGAACTTGGTCTTTATTCAACCTCACCTATGTTACTGTAAAAGAAGACAATGCCCAAGGAGGGCACTTTCTCCTTCCCTCTGGAAAATCTCCACCTTTTGGGATTGAATGGAGGTCCTTCTTGTAATGTTACAGGGGTTAGATGATTGGAATCCCTGCCCCAAGTGACTCTATTGGCTTAAAAAGAAAATAGTTTGTTCTCAAATGAAAAATATAACCCTAACCTTTCAGGGTGTAACCTTCTGTGCAAAGTGTAAATATTTGCAGGGTAATATGGTTACTGGGTGAGTCAAGGCCTTCAAAACCAAGGCAGATGGTCCCAATAGCTACCTGCCTAACAGTTTTTTGGAGGAATAATCCTCCAGCTGGCCACCCCCACCAACCACTTTTTGTTTATCAGGTTTGAATTTTCTCCATCGGGAACCACTGGAGGTGTAACTACATGTTAGTTGTGTATAATAGATGTTTACAGCGTTCTCCTTCTGTGGCTGTCGAGTAAGGACTGTGCTGTTGGAGTGAAATCCCTGACCGGTCACATATTTCTTACTTAGCTGCTATTGAAAGATGAGATCATGCTCTATTTGTGTTGCATCACAAGGTTGAGCAGTTGAAACCCCTAGGTGTAAAACCGTGTGAGCCTTACCAAATTCTATGCCTACATTTTATTATAGATGGTTTTACATGGTTGCTTTTTCCTCAGTGACTTCTGAAGTATTTCAGTATGCCCTGTTATGCACATCTTACAAATATGGCATTTTGTGGATGCTGCATACACATTCCTGTCTAGATTTGGGAAATATGTCTCGAGGATTGCAGCTCTTCCATGATAAGCGCATGTCAAGTTGCTAGAATCTATTTTGCTAGGGATCATTTTAACATAACCCATCCAGTAGGGAATGCTTTTCAGTATCAGAGTCTGTTGAAGAAGGCCAGGACATGGGTTTTTTGGGAGAGGACTGCTGTCTGACAGAGTGAGAGATGTGGATGCCTAGGGCAGACATTAGTAATAGAAGAATCCCCCGGTGTTGTCTCACTCTAGGAAATGGCCATCTTGAGCTTCAACCTTCTCAGTTTCCTTGTGAACAGAATTAGAAGTTGTTGAGGGCTGTGGAAGATAATTAGAGTTGATGATTTGAAGGATAGAGGCATGCTGTGTATAGAGATGTACA